TCTCTCTGCCTCCCCGTGTCCCCTCTCCCGCTCTCTCTGCCTCCCCGTGTCCCCTCTCCCGCTCTCTCTGCCTCCCCGTGTCCCCTCTCCCGCTCCCTCTGCCTTCCCCGTGTCCCCTCTCCCGCTCTCTCTGCCTCCCCGTGTCTGTGTATAGCGCTGAGATTAGTTTCCGGGTTTGAAATACGCTGTCAGGTACCACATCACCCCTGTTCTGCCTGTTTAGTTCATGGGTTTGTTTTAAGTCTTGGTGTCTCTATGTGTAAGAATGTAAACTTAGTATCATGTTGCTGATTCACAGGGTCACAGCCCGCCTGCATTAACAGTAGTAGTGTTTTGTTCAGAGTCTCTGCTTTCTGAATTATGTTCATGCACCGAGACGTGTGTAATTGGTCCAGCTGTTCTTTATGAGCGTTTCATTATGAAATGCCAACGTGTGAAGACAATTGACAATTGAAGTTGCAAGTTATTTTTTCTCTCATCTGCAAAAGGAAAGACGTTTTTTAGTGGTGCAGTATGGTGCAGTTTACTCCTAAGACCGAAGCCAAAGGGAGTAACAGATGGGGGTAACACCCAAACTGCCCAGCACGCTGACACGCTGCTCTAATGATGCTCTTTTCCTTCAAAAACAAATAAGGTCAAAGGGCACACGCTGCTCCCGGGTGTTTGTCGCTCCGGGCAGCATTCCACATCCCTTCAACGTCATTAGGGAAGTTCATTAACATGATGGAGCACATAGAAGGTCCATCATCTGCAGAATCATCCAAGACCTGGTGGAGTTTGGGACTGAGGTCTTGGGAATGCTCAGACTAGCAGCCTTGCGTGGATACACCCATCCCTTATCCGGCCTCCATAATCAGTCGACGCTTTTCATTTCTTAAACCTAAAGTACGTCAAATCAAATTTCGCACAGCACAATCATTTTGGTGTACTATAGGATTCAGAGTTCGTATGTTACATTTTTTTCCCCTAATAATATTATTTTCCAGATTTGGAATTTTCCCAAAATGACTTGATTGAGAAGACTTCTTGCTTGAGAAAAATTCTGATTTTTTTTTTTTAATTTCTTTTTGCTGCTTGATGAATATGGAATCAGATTTGTGCCAATATTATAAAGCAAAACTTTTTTCATATCAAGCAAAAACAAGGCTTCGAGATGAAAAACAACTAACTGAAGCAAAAGAAATGTCATCTCAAAACTAAAATTTATAACATGCCAACCCATGATTGGTCTTTTGATAATGTTTTCCTTTGTTTACGCTGCCAGCTTTCTGACTTACACTCCCTGACTTTTTGTTTACAATTCTGACACAAACTTCTCGCGTGGGTGGGTTTTTTCAGGGAAGCGTTCCCATTGGCTAATAAGTTTTTGACTGACAGGTCAGTGCCAAAGACATTTTTAATTAACAGTGGGACTGGACATTCACTACCCACTATCTAATTTTTACTGGATCCGACAACAATATTAACAAAGTGTAAATGTTGATGTTGTTTGTGCTGCACTATACATTTTATTGTGCTAAATTAGAAGTGAAGTTAAGCTTTGCTATATAGGAGTTTTCTGTCTCAATGTTTTGTGTGATGATAATGACGCTTGTGTGTTACATTTGTCCATCTGCAGGCGTGTGATATGATAACAATGTCCCAGTCCCTGGGTGCATCATGCCCATTTCCCGCCATTACAAGGTGTTGCTTCAGAAGCTGTTTATTAGGCCTGGATTAAACTGCTGTGATATATAGGATCTCATGAACACTTCACTTTGATTTGGTTTCTCCGCCAAGTGAGATTTTGCATCTTCTCCCAGTTATTTGGTTTATGCTGTCACCAGATAAACCGGGACCACAACTGGACTCTGCTCCTGGCACCAGCCGCTGACACAAAGGCTGCAGCAAGCTGCTTGTTTGTGAATTTTTAATAGCTCGTTAAATATTTAACTAATTTATGGAGATAATTGTGTGAAGAAGGAAGGGCCTGCTGTCAGGGGTGGGACCTTTGAAGTCACGCCCTGGGGGGGGGGGCATCTGACCCCAACGACATCTCATTGGGGTTCAGTAAAGCTCAGGGGGCTGACAGTGGGTTGAATTACAGGGTTAAGGGGAAACACATGATGGTGATAATGACAGCGATGGTGACACTGGTGATGGTGATGATGGTGATGATGATGGTGGTGACTAGCGGTGGTGGTGATAACAGTAGTGATGATTGCAATGATGGCGATAGTGATGATGGAAATGATGACAGTGGCGATGGTGGTGAGGATGATAGTGACTGATATAGTGACGATAATGGTGAAAATGGTGGCTCATGGTGGAGACGGTGACAGAGTTAATGGTGCTGATATTGACGATGGTGGCGTTGATGATTTTTATTAGGCTTCCTCTCTCATTTCCGACAGCGACAGTATGTGTAGCAGGTTTAAGATGCCCACGCGTGTCGAACATGGAGCTCTTATAGTATATGGGTGTATTGATGTGCCTGAGGCCGTTTGCTCGCTTCTGCCCCAAAGGTACCGCATCTGTTTTTATTTTATTCCAGCACGATAGCTCTGAGGTGTGTGGATCTCATGTGATGGTTTTCATTTCACTAGCTGCTTTTTCCCTAGCATGGAAATCATGGTTTATTGCCACTCCCCCCTCCCCCCTTTGAAGCTCGCCCGATTACTGCTGCTCCAGCACGGCTGAATCACAGATTTTAATTCCTGCCTCTGAATCTACAGTACCGGCTCTCAGCCAAACGGGTTTTGCTCTGGTTTGTTGGTGTTCAGTCAGCACGCCATTCAGCTCTCTGCCTCATGGAATTTAATAATAAAGGCCTTTTATAAACATGTGCCACGGGAAGAATCAATTTTACTCAACGCTGAGTATGATAATTCAGTTAGGACTGATTCTATATACTGAAGCCATGCTGTCCTGCAATGACCAATCACCAATGACTGGCTATTTTATCAGATTGCATTATAGGAAATGTAGGCGCACCAGAGTAGTAGCAACATTGTCATCTGTTGAGGCATGACTCAGACTGCCATTTCCCATGATGCTCTGGGAGCTGCTGCTGGAGTGTGTCTGTCAAGGGGAAAGGATACACATGCATGTCAGTCCTCCAGTAAATGAGCATGAGCCCCGTTCACATGGGACCTGGTCAGGGTTTAAGCGCCAAGTGTGAGGTGCCGGTACTTCAGGCTCCCTCTAACCCTTTTGGTTGCAGGAGCAGGTCTATGGCCCACCTGTGACCCGTGATGATCTGGATAGAGGCAGGGGGTGGGACAGCCTCTCAGACCCGGCCTGCGACTTGTGAAATGCCCTGTTCTGCTCCCCCATTTTGCATCTACAGGCTCCTCCCACCTGCCAGATTAGGCGCAATCAGAACGTTTGGAGGGCATGACAACATGTTGAGCTGGCCCACTGCTACTTGCCAAGGCTCAGATCCTATCCCTACACACCATCCAAGCTGAAAGAGCCACCAGTCATCCTGCTACAGCCTTCTGGCTTGTCATCATGCTGACGGTTGGGGCAGCGTAGCCATTTCCTTGCAGAACGCCACCTGCCTTCTGACACGAGCCTTTGTCTGGTGGACCAGTAACAGCTGACAGATCCAGCTGACAAATGCAGTTGCCTTGCACCTGCCCTACCCTACCAGAAGGTGGTGCCAGCAGCCTCAGTGCAAACTTCAGTTGCCAATGGAGGGCACTTGCACCAAGATGCCACACAGGTTTCTCATTTCCATGCAGTCTTAGTACATGCAGTCAGTTTCCCCGCTTCGCTGCACTCGGGTGTACGCATCGAGCTGAATCGATATCTCCTCTGCAGACGATGGAAAGAATATCACTTCATTGTTTCTGAAATGAGCTGGATTATAATGCAAAACCCTCTGACTTTTGATTCCTAGGAGGTACTAGGCTGTGGAAGTAATTCTTCACTCCGAAGCCGCACTTTGCTTATTATATATTGATCTGAGGGCTGGCCGGCCATTTGGCGATTCGCCTTGGCGATTTTCGTTTAGCGCAGCTTTCAGAATGAGTTTTTGCTGCTGATATTCGATGACAGGACATGATATCGGTGCTGAGATGTTCCCAGTAGTTTGTCAATATCCTTAACCCAGTCCACGGGGCCAAGGCCACTACAGCTTGATTTTGTTAAAGCAGTATCCTGATGGACAGATGGGCAGATCGGTGGAATCTGTCAGTCTGACTGTTGACCTCCTGCCTAGTCACTCCTTTGTAAATCTGTTTAAAAGAGATATCACAGAGAGATATTTTTCTGTGTTTTTGTGCAGTGTGAGGGCACAAAGATTTTAAAGGGTTTGTTACCCTATTTTTTCTTTTAATTAATATTACTACAGGTAACCATACACACAGATAAGGCCATTGTCATAAGGTACAGACACAAGGTAGGAAAGCAAGACGAGGGTCATAAGGCACAGAGAGCGGGTGGTAAGGCAGTCAGAGAGGGTCATAAGGCACAGAGAGCGGGTGGTAAGGCAGGCAGAGAGGGTCATAAGGCACTGGGAGTGGGTGGTAAGGCAGGCAGAGAGGGTCATAAGGCACAGAGAGCGGGTGGTAAGGCAGGCAGAGAGGGTCATAAGGCACAGAGAAGCACCAAGATGTAGAGGTATGTCAGAGCTGCAGTCCTGTCCTTCATCTGGCTGAATAGCTCACAGCATCCTGGATGCGGCTGGTCACTGTAGTGGGGGTGCGGCTCTACTGCGCTGGACTTGCAGCTTACTGTTGCAAGGGGTGCTTTTCCTCAGACACACGCCGGTAAAATATGGATTTTTTTTTTCTCCCTGTCAGAGGTGTTGGGAGCCCTAATGTGCGTATCGATTCCTCCTGATTATGGAACGCGGGGGGTTATCTTTTATCTAAATTGAGCTATAATTGGCTGTGCTGAACCTGCTCTTACAGTGCTGCCTCGCAAAGTGTCACAGCGCACGAGCTGTCAGGCATGATTTAGCAGCTCGCTGGGCTCCTTTCTGCCACCCATGGGCCCGTGTTAAACTAGCCCCCAAAGGAAGTTTCGAACCCGGGCTCTCCCTGCTTCGCTCTGCACGAGGGACCTAGTGTGACCGTGGCACACTCACTGGCACTGTGCCACCCAGAGAAGAGGAGGAGCCAGTCAGTGTGCTTGGCAGCCTGATACCCAGAATGCCCTGCGTGGGATAATTATCAGGCAGGTTGAGTGTGGCCTGCTTCGGAGAGCATAGCAGGGAAACATAGCAGGCCACGGGTGGTCCACAAGTACTCCGGAAGTGGTCTTCAAAGGCTGCAGGCTCTGCTGGTTTTGATCAGTCTTGGCACCCCACTGAAAAACGGTAAAGCCCCACTTCAAATGTACCCCCCCCACTCCGGTGCCCCAGTGCATACTGGAAATGATATGAACTGGAAAAGCCTCCCAGCTGCAATGCCCAACATATTTGGTGGATCCCTGTGTCTGTGATGATTAGGATCATGTGGAATTGTCATGCTTTTCCTTTCGGTGTTTGGTCACAAATCCCAGTGCTGTTTTGAGATGTTCGAAGGCTGCTCTATCATACAGACCGTGTGTGATTACATTGTTGCTAATGCTCAGCTGGACATCAGGCATTAAATGACAAACTTTCCCGAAGGTCCACTAACCACATACACTGGTGCAGGATGTCTGTTTTATTTACGCTGTACATGTAACAGGCTTCGCTAATATTCTTCTGGTCCTGTGGAGTACTCTTGACTTGGATGCAGCCACTGGCCAGTAGTGACATCACTCAGCTTCTCCCCCTGCTCCCACAGGGGACACCTCCCCCCTGAGCTGTGCCCTGGGTAGCCCGCAGCTGGGCCACCTCCAGTCCCTGGTCGGCCACGGCCACACGGCCCCACAGCAGAGCCGGCTGCCACTCGTTGCAGGCCCTGGGGGCCCTGGCTTCCAGAGCACGCACCCCTTCACGGACAACGGCTTCCCCAAGCCCCCTCCCGCTAACCCCATGGCTTGCCTCTTCCAGAACTTCCAGGTGAGTTGGCACTCGGGTACATAAATGGGTCAGCTGATTGCTAAAAAACGGCCCCACGGTGGGAGCCACGGCCCTGTCGTCGGTGAGCTGCATATCTCGCTCTCCAGAAGCCGTCAGCTGATCACTGTGTCCTTCCTTCCTTTTCCGCCGGCTGCAGGTGAGCTTGCCGGGGGGCATAGCAGTTCCCAGCAAGCATGCCGGCTCCCAGTCGGGAACGTCATCGCTCCCTGAGGCAGCGGGGGCCACAGCGCTCCAGCAAATGCCGGATGGCGTTGGCGAGCCCCGGCCCCCGCACCTGCCCCCCCCCACTGGCCCACATGGTGCGGAGGGTCTCCCAGGGGGACGCGTAGACTCTGTGGACGCCATCTACAGAGCGGTGGTGGATGCGGCCAGTAAAGGCGTGCATGTGAAGATCACGGCCGCTGTGGGTGGGGCCACTCAGGGCAGCCCCGTCTCCGCCCTGAGCGCCATGAGTGCCTTCGCTGGGGAGCCCATCAGCTTGGCACATGCCGTCAGTGCCGTCGCCCGTGGCCAACGTCCGCTCTGCCAGGAGGCGGAGCCCCAGCACCAGGCCCGCCCACACAGGAACACGGGGCAAGGCCTTGGTACCCCTGACCCTGCCCGCTTCCGCTCTCCTGGCCACGGCACCCCTCGGAGGCAGTGGGAGGTGGAGGCATCGGCCGACAGCGGCGGCACTCAGTGGTGGGGGGATGAGTTTCTGGAGTGCTCAACGCACATGCGGAGCAGCCCCTGCTCGGGCCAGCCCCCTGGCCCCGTGGAGCGCCCCCGCTTTCTGGAGGAGAGCCTCCACTTCAGCAGCTGCCAGCGGGCGATAGAGCGCTGCACCCACGTGAACGGCGGCCCCCCGCCCCCTGTTCGCAGCTATGCCGAAGCACTGCCCCCCCCCAGGCAGGAGCTGCCCTCTGATGACCAGTCGCCCAGCTCCTCTACCAGTCTGGAGGGCCCCCTAGTGAGGGACTACAGTCACTACAACGGACACTACAATGGCTGCGCGCCCAGCCCCACAGACACCAAGAGCTTGAGCAGTGAGGAGGAGCTGCGGCAGCCCGACTCCCCTGGGGAGCTTCTGCACTACCGGCCGCCTCGCACACTCCACATGGGTGACCTCATGTGGGGGCAGATCAAGGGCTTCCCGCCCTGGACCGGCAAGCTGGCGGCCGTGGACCCTGGCCTCCACCCTGGCATGCACAGCAACCAGCAGGCCAGGGTGAGTCTCGCCCCGCCCCGCCTCGCCTCGCTCCGCCCCGCCCCGCTCCTCTGTGTGCGTGACTCATACCACTGGCTCGCCACACACACTGATGCTCCCTCCTGTGTCAGGCACTGGGGCAACATTGTAACAAGAAGCCCCCCCCCCCCAGTTCCTCCCTTATGTTTGTTTCCTCCCTCCTGTTCTTTTATATTCTCCTTCTCTCTTCTGTTCCTCCTTCATGTTCTCCTTCTCCTCCCTCTTGTTCCTCTTTGATGTTCTCATCCTCCTCACCACATTCCTCCTACATGTTCTCCTTCTCATCTCTGCTGTTCCTTTCACATTCTCCCTCCTGCTCCTTCTTTATATTCTCCAAATCTCTCTCCTGTTCCTTTTTTATATTCTCTTCCTTCACATTGACCTTCTCCCTCCAGTTCCTTCATTATATTCTCCTCCTCTCTCCTGTTCCTTCTGTATATTCTCTTCCTTCACATTCTACTCCTCCTCTCTCCTGTTCCTCTTCCACATTCTCCCTCCTGCTCCTTCTTTATATTCTCCTCCTCTCTCCTGTTCCTTTTTTATATTCTCTTCCTTCACATTGACCTTCTCCCTCCAGTTCCTTCATTATATTCTCCTCCTCTCTCCTGTTCCTCTTCCACATTCTCCCTCCTGCTCCTTCTTTATATTCTCCTCCTCTCTCCTATTCCTTTTTTATATTCTCTTACTTCACATTGACCTTCTCTCTCTAGTTCCTTCATTATATTCTCCTCCTCTCTCCTGTTACTTCTTTATATTCTCTTCCTTCACATTCTACTCCTCCTCCCTCCTGTTCCTTCTTTGTATTCTCTTCCTTCACATTCTCCTCATCTTCCTCCTCCCCGTTCCTTCTTTATATTCTTTTCCTTAACATTCTCTTCCTCCCTCTTGTTTCTTCATGTTCTTTCCCACCTCTTTCCTATACTTTCCTCTCTTTCTCCTCCTCCCTTATGTTCCTCCTTCACGTCGTCCTCCCCATTACGTGTACATCTGTTTCCCCACAAAGTCCACTCTCCTGTTTCCTGCTCAGTTTAGCAGTTGCTGATAATCACATGAATCGTAATAACGTGGCATGAAATGGGTGCTGGGGGTTAGTCTGAGTCATCACTCTCGATCCGCACATCTGTCCCACAGATACAAACCACCCATTGGCTTTCTGCTGGTTTCTAGTGCTGGCAATAGGCTGCATTCTGCTCCTTTTCCCCCAGGTGGAGCCAGAGAAGCTAAAGACACTAACGGAGGAGCTGGAGGTGCTTGACAGAGCCTCCAAGCTGAACCGAAAGTGAGTGTGGCGTCAGGTGACATGGTGGGCGTCCTCGCTCACGCGCAGCTGACATTACCCCCCCCAGGCATCCTGAGGTCAGCTGGAGCTGCTTCTTGGCTGATTTATTTGAGGGGGGGTGATATCAGCAGTGTTCAGTGCAGCTGAGACGGAGGTTAATGTGCAGGTTGGGGGTGGGGGGCTGGAATTGGCGCTGCTAACACTGCCGGTAGTAGCAATGACACCCTGGTGCCCCCCTTGCTCTCCGCCAGTATCGTAACTGGTTCTGTTTTGTTTTGTGACAGAGGTGGGAAACTGAATAACCATCTACAAGCTGCTATCCACGAGGCCATGAGTGAACTGGACAAGATGTCGAGCAGTGTGAGTGTGCTGGCCGCCCCGCTGTTCACCAGCCTCCAGCCATCAGTCTTAATGACACTCAGTACCAAACAGCATTTCCCCACTTTCACAGCAGGCCCGGCTCTCCGCTTGGGTCCCCTCGTCCCCTCGTGCTTTATGGATGCCCCCCCCCCCCATAAAATGGCTCCTCCTCTGGGTGAAAGTCCCCCGTCTCTCATTAAGCTGTTAAATTCTAAGTTCTAATTTGGATTTAAACCAAATGGTCCTCAGGAGCCATTTGAGGTGCTCCTCAGTCACCATGTACTACTGAGTCCAGCTCTGGCCATGAGTTTGCTGCCGCTCCGGGTCAGAACGCCAAGACCCCACTTCCTGCACGTCGCCGGCCAGCTGGCCGGGCTGTGACAGCCCCCGCTGATCAAAGGGACGCCAAGCAGAAGGGATTAACCGAATGAGCCAAAGCGGCCCGCCCCCGGGCCCCTGAAGGGTCCACCGGCTCCCCGGGGCCCCGTCTCCTGTCCCGAGGCTGGATGTGTGCCTGGACAGAAAGGAGGCACTAAGCTCTCCGGTGCAGTCAGGTTAAGGGTCTCTCCGGCAGCTGTTCTGGGCCTTAATCTCATTTGCTTGGAAAATGACTCCTTCTTTCGGCCCCCCTGTTGGCATTACGCTGTCATTAAACATTCGCTGCACCACAGGGGTTTGAACCCATGACCTCCTGGTTGTGAGCTGAATTCTTAAATCCCTCTTGATCTGATAGGGGTAAAAAGGAACAATAAACAGCTGATTTATCAGATTTTTTCAGACTAAACTGGAACAGTAAGGCTAAGTAGCCTTTGAGTGGACGGAGGGCTCCCTGAGCCGTCAGTCAAGCTGTATAATAATAATAATAATGATATTTTATTGATCCCCATGAAAATTCTCTTTTTGCCTCCCTCATCTTACTCTCCACACACAGATACATATGTAGTTGAGAGGAATAACCTGCAGTAGCTCCCATGGAGCTAGGGGTTAAGGGTCTTGCTCACGGTCCCAAAGACGTGACTATTCTGCTGAAGCTGGGCTAGAACTGGCGCCCTTCAGGTTGCAGGCATAGAGGCTTAGGCCGCTGAGCCACATGTTATAGTTTTAAAAGGAAGTATATAAAGGCAACAGGTATTCACCGGCATTTTCTCTCATTCGTGGTTAAGGATCATTTTTAATTATCATTTGCATTGTTCTCTAATTTAAATAAAAAAATGTGTGGAATTGAAAGCATTTTTCCTTCTGAGAGCTGAGTGACCCCCCCCCCCCCCCCCTTACCTACTGACCTGTACTTACACTCCCCGTGGGTTTCTGTCTCTCCCCCAGGTTCACCAAATCCCACCAAGGGACAGACAGGTCAAGCCCCCCAAGCCCAAGAGGAGGAAAATCTCCAGATAACATTGAATGTGTCGGCCCCGCTCCAGCACCAGTCAGCTGTGCAACTGTGTACCAGTCAAGTCTTAACCATTTAGGTGCCTCCCTCCCTCTCTCCCACCCCCACCCTGGAGCTACAGTCCAGCAGTGGTACAGTATTCAACCCAACCCCCCTCCCCCACAGGCACAGTCTGATAGTGAGAGGCCACTGGACAAACCTTACAGAAACTGTATAAACTATAGTTGCAATTTGTCAACAGCTTGCTGAAGAACTATTTTTTTTCTCTAATATACTAAAAAAAAAATTAATCATGAAATGAGAAAATAGACAGTCCAAATATTTCTGGTACATTTTCAGTATGTATATAACCAATGAAGAAATTTCATGGTAATATTCTGGAAAAAAGTAATGTAAATATTGTATAATATGGTCATGTACAAGCAAACCTAATGCACACTTTTAACTTTTATTGTACAAAACAAAGGTGAAGAAAGTGTACAGAATCTTTTGGTTTTTATTCAGTACACAGTCAGTATGACGAACGGGGTAAATAAAATGAGAGCGTACAGCTTTTATACATGACGACTGGCGTGTATCGAGCGGCGGACGGCCTGGTCATGTGACACCTGGATCGCCGTGTGTGTGAGGATCAGGTTTTATGGGCTGGAAGTGCTTCCGGGCCTCAAAGCGCAACCCCCAGCCCCCACGAGAGTGACAGACAGCAAGCGAGTGAGCCCCCTCCTCATCGGGGCCAGCCAGGAAACACGATCCCGTCACGTGACCCGGGGAGCAGAGCCGTGCATGAGGAAAGACCCTGACACGCTCACACGTGTCGGCATACTGAATACCTGTTTGTACTGCAAAAGTAAATCACTTATTTTTCTTGAATATTTTTGATATTACAAATACCAAGTAGAATTTAAATGTTAGATGCATTCACTTTTAAAATAATAGCACATGCGGTTTAAATCTTTGTAGTCCCATCCTATTACTTGCTGAAAAACAGTACATGCATTTTTTATTTATTTTTTTGTTTTGCAAATATTACTTGTGTGGCTCATATAGATCGAAGGAAATTGTGTCAAGTCATGGAAATTAGCCGTTGAACCCCTGATGGGAGTTTCCCTTTTAAGATGAGTTTCTGCCTGGATTCCGGTTTGTGGTTGACACGGCATTAATTAAAGCAGCCAATGAATACACTGGGATTCAACATGCAGCTCGGTCTCCGTTTACCGTTGGACAGGCTCATTGGTGTTAGCCGAGTGAGCAGATGCTGCGCGCGACCTACGCCTCGCGTACGTGTGGGGACCCCTCAGCCAAGGTGTTACTGTCACTCCTTCACATTGTTTTAAATAGGGGCCTTAATCATTTCTGTTGTTTTTAAGTTTACTTTTTACTGTTGCTGTTCTTGTTGTAAATTATTAATGTATTACATATTTATTTGTAGCTTTATAATTGTAATAGTTGGCAATAATACTAATATGAGTTGTAAACTCTGACAAGCCTTAGAGTATATATTTTTTTATTCTCTCATACAAGAGAAACAGCTTATTACTCGCTTAGCTGTTAAATGGTATACATGTGTATTTTTTTATATTTAATACGTGCGTGGTTTTATGGAGACATCCAGTACTTATTATTTTTAAGCACTGTATCTTTTCTCGTTAATGCCATCCTGCCCTGCTGTCGCTTCCCCTGGCTCTGACCCAAACGTGGCGTCAAGAGTCCCTCTGTCACCTGAAGATGGTGTTCATTCGGGCTCTGACCTCAGACAGCAGGTGGCGCCGGTGGGTGTGACACCAGGCCACATTGATTTGATATGGCTTTTACTCGTAGCCTTTGCGTGAGCTTTGTATGCCTGTTGCAATAATGAAAAAGAATTAGGATTTGGGAGTTTCCAATAGCGGAAACTTTTTAAAAGGATTTAAATGCTTCCATAGCATAACACTACAGTTTGGTAGATCGACGTCACTTCATATACATATGGATCAGGGCACTGCCAAACATGACATTGACAGGGAGAGACCCAAACAAACCTACAATGTGGCCGACGCAGCGGCAAGGCCCTCAGAGCCCGTAAGCGCTCCACGTGGGGGCCGTATCAGAAGCACGACTAGGTAATCAGAAGAATACCGCGTGCCAAATTGGGGCCCGGTTCTCAGCACAGGGGGGACTGTGAGAAAAGGGGCGGGGCTGGAGTATCTCTCTGTGGGCCAATGGTAGGTGAGCAGGGCTGTGGGGGGCGGGACAGGGGTGACACAAGACAGTGCTGTGCAAACAGGGCCGTACATTTCTACCCTGTGATCGACTACACTGATCTCTGATTTAATGAAGTGTTAATGAAGGCGGTGCGAGAGAGACGGGCTCCAAAGAGACTAGGAGCGACTCCCACTTTTCATTTCACAGGTAGTTTCTTAAAAGGCATATACTGTGAACGTACAAACTATATGGTTTAACCCTCAGCTTATCCAGTGCAGACACTCATTTGGTTTAAGTCTTCCCCCTAAAAGTGTCACAGGGAAGTGCAATAGGGTATTATCTGCAAACACTAGCAAAACTATTTTTTGCTATCTTTTTTACGGCATACTTGTAGATGATAATGTAATTACTGTCAATAATGTAATTACTGTCAATAATGTAATTACTGTCAATAATGTAATTTATTTAATACATTAATGGTAGTTATTGCATAATTGGCTGCTATACCAGCAAGTAATATAATAACTTTTTGTGCATAATGTTATAAAATTTTTGTTTCAGAAATGTTATTACATTGTTGGTAAGTTACACAATTAGCTTTTATTACATTAAGAATTTTGTTATGGAAACTATTAGAATATTGGCAGTTATTACATTATTGGATGCTGCAATCCTTATGCAGTTTTAATGTGATGGTTTTGGAAACCTCAGCTAGCTATGCTCCGGTCATTGCGGTGCTTTTACTGTAGCAATCCCAGAATGCACCAGGGGAGCTCACGACAAGCCCACATAACCGTAACTAGGAAGAAGGTGCTTCAGACCTGTTGGTGCATTCGACACAGAGAGCAGCAGCAATGGTCCCATGTCATTTTCTCAGCGTCCAGCATGACATCAATTCAGATTGCCACCGTCGTTTTGTTTGAAGTGTCCTCCACATTGCCATTGTGCTTTTCAGTCTCCCTGTGTTTACTCATGGTTGCCATTGCTTTGACCTTGACATGACCAGCCCCTCCCTTCTGTGACACCCCACCCCCTGGCCTCCAGCGTGTCCCTGTGTGTTCTCACCAATGTCTACTTTACAACACTAGTCTTTGTAAAGTACTTTTGTGCACTTGATTTCAGTGGTTAGAAATAGCATTGATGTGTAAGCTAGGGTCTTTCCTTAGATTTTAAGTGAGAGGCAGTTTCATGTAAATATCGTGAGTGTTACGAGTCACGCAGTGATGTAACATTTAAACAACATTGCACCAACTTTTTTTTTGTTTGTTTTTGTTTACACGTCCCAAATATACACATATCTGTCTGGATTTGACAGGATTCGTTTCAGTTTTGAAAGCAGTGTTTGAACATAGAGCTGATCAGACTTGGTTACTTTGTTTGAAGTCTTTCTGTGGTGTGTAACATTTCCAAAGGGATTTGAAAAACAAACTATATATTGCATTCAGTTGCAATAAAATGATACTGTATTGAATATATTGTGTTGTAACGGCATGGTCCTGTTTGATTGCTTTCTGGGTCGAGCTGGTTGGTTCTCCCACAGCATCACCTGGCTCATTGTCTGATTGGGAGAAAGTGTGGCTCACCTGCTCTTGCCTGTTGTCTCTTAAAGATTCAGTACGTCACAGCAGAGGCTGGTTTTCTTCACACTCAGAGGAGTGAAGATGCTCATCAGAGACATTTTCATTAACACAGTGTGTATCGTCCCATCAGACTTTGTATTTAATATATTAGTTATGCTGGTTGGGGTGAAAATGAAATGCCCGTCTATTACATGGAATACGGACACAATATCCCTTGTTTAAAAAAAATAAAAAAAACTACATGGGTGGGGGAGGGAATGACTTCAGTGATGCTGTGACTGTAATGTCAGTGCCCTGGCTTCTTTAGAAAACAGGGATTCGGCCATTTTGTCGCCGAGCGGTGATCTAAGCAGCGGATGGGACTGCATCTTCTTGGATGGGGGGTCGCCTTTGGAATGATCCCATAGTGCCAGACCTCACAGATCATTTCAACAGAGGGATGGACCCAAATACTGGGTTTATCCTCCAGCATTCTGAGCTGGTGACTTATAATTGTATGGATTATAGTTTAGTAAGAATCCTGTATGTCATATTTTTGCCATTAGAGTTGGTTTAACCTTTTTTATTTAATGACCCACAGCCATATTGTAGTGTCGCCACACTCATCAGCTCACAGCTGCTGTGTGGACGACAGTGTCCCTTTCAGTGTTACTCTCCAGTGACGCATGCCATTTACTCTGTTACAAAGAGTCAGCTTTATATTTGAACCTAAGTCCTTCCATTTCATACTAGGCACTACCCAAGGTAATACAGAAAAATGGCTTTTGTGTTTACTTTTTCAATCCTGGCTGTTCATCCCATCGCATAAAATAGTTCTCAGTGCATTTCAGATCCAGCAGTTGGAGATTAATCCGAAAGGGAGGTTTCTTTGTTTGGTTTCTGAAGAAGCTCCCATTCAGCCATCCTGGGTTTGACCCACCCTGTGAGTAAGGAAGCGGATGCAATCTGCTGTTACCAAACTAGGCTTCCAACATGAGTCACGCCGATTTATCATCACCACATTTATATAACTTGGTTTTCTTCCAGCAAATTAATCTTGATAGAAGCAGCTTCCAGGAACTGATAGGCAAAGCTGCACGCAGAGTTAGCTCTCCACCCCCCGCCCCGCTCCGCCCCCCACCTCACCCCA